TTTTGGCCTCACTGTGCGTTGTTATTGTCATTCTTCTGTGATAAGTGGTTTGTCCACTTTTAATATTTAAGCACTTGATTTTGTATTTTTCACATTCTGCTCCACTTTCTCATTAGTTGTATTCATGTTATTTCATATATGTTATGAAGGACTCTAATTACTGTGATTTAGTTAATATTTTATTTTTCCCTAATCATTTCCGTGCGTTTTGCCCACGGTCATGGTTTATTGTCTGTTACACCTTTTGGTCCTCATTTTGGACCTTTATTATTTCACCTTTCCCTTCACTCTTATATTCCTTCCATTTACTGATTATGTTATGGTGTATTATCTATTGTCTTTTCATCTCACTATTTGTCTTGGAATGTCTGTGGCATTATTGTGATTAGCGCAACATCAATTTTCTGTTTGTTGTTTATTGCTAGTGGTATAGCCAGGTGTGTGCTGCTGTCCCAATAGTCCCATCTTTTCTAGTAGCGGCGCAAAACGTTTATTACATATTTCATATACACACACACCTCAGCATAAATGAGTACACCCCAACAGATTTGTCAGAGCACCTTTACTTTCCTTTCAGAATTAACATTTTCTATGGGACTCTATACTATAAAATACTGCTACAAATGTGGGGAATTGATTGCAAACAAGATTTAAGTTGCACACACAAAAAAAGTACTTTTCCTAACAAATTTATTCACGACCATGTTGCAAAAATGAATACACCCCAATGAAAGTCTTAGGAGCAAAGCTACATTTTAGATAACAAAATCCTACTTAACAAGAATTCAACTACAGGTGAGTCCAATTATTCATTAAACAGGTGTCCAGCAGACAGTTGATTATAAAAGGGCGTTACCTAACAAAGAAAACCACTTCCCATTTCATGTGGTTAGCAATGGCACCACATGGAAGAATAATGTCACAAGGCCTAAGAAAGAAAATTTTGTTACATAAGAAAGGTGAAGGCTACAAGAAGATCAGCAAAGCTTTACTTATCAGTCAGAATACTGTAGCAAAAGTGATACAAAAATGTAACAGAAATGGAACTGCAACCATCTAACAAAGACGTCCAGACCGTCTACAGAAGTTAACACCTCAACATGAGTGTCTTCTGTTGAGAAGGGTTGAGGAAAGTCGCCATGCAAGTTCACTACAGTTAGCAAAAGAAGTAGAAAGCCAGACTGAGATGATTGTTTCCTGGACACAATATGGCGTACACTGCAGAGGAAAGGCATGCATGGGTGTCATCCATGAAGGAAGCTTCTAATAAAAAGCCCATGCACAAAAAAATCCTGCCTAGAATTTGCCAGGGCCCATGCTGAAAAAAAGAAGACGACTACTGAGAATCTGTACTCTGGAGTGATGAGACCAAGATAAATGTTTTTGAAATGGATGGCTTCAAAACCGTATGGCATCGCAAAAGTGAGGAGTACAAGAGGGGATCCTGACTGAAAGACGCTGTGGGGGGAGCAATGGACCACCTCTTCAAGGTGGAAAACCAGGCTCTTCTTCCGGCCACCATGGGGCTAGTAGGATCAATCTGCAACTGGACCGGATCAACTTCTGTAGCTTTCACAGAATCAATGCCAGAGGGGAGAATGCATATGCCAGCCCGAAGTACCATTCCTGTGCTAATGTGTTCCAGTGCCTGGGAAGTTCCCTGCATTGGGATACCCATGGAGTGGGATAAGTGACACCGGGTACTGCCTGCTCTCTCCGACTCACCTATTCACCCCCCCCCCCCAGGGGGTACCCTCTGGCCCCAGGCCAGAAAAAAAAAAAGAGCGGGAAATTTAAACTCAATCAATTTTTGATTGTGTTTCCTGTCAGGTGGAACTAGTCATCTCAGGTGTGCAATCCTAGTAGATGATTGGAGAAAAAAAAAAAAATTACTATAAAATAGAAAAAAAAAAAATAAAAAATACTGCCCTCCTGAACCTTAGTCACGTCCTTAGTGTATTTAAAGGCTTCAACAAATATCTCTGCTTTCCCTTCTATACTCCAGACAATTTAGGATCCTTAGGTCTTTCCTGATATGTTTTATCCCTCAAACCGTTCACCATTTTTGTTGCCCGTCTTTAGACTCTATCTTATTAAAATCTTTTTGGAAGTGAATTCCTGAAAATGAACTGTCATTACTAGAACAAATATGTTATTACAAATATGTTAATATGTTCAATCCATTTCTATGAAGACTGAACAGAAGTAAATGGTTTACATCAAGGTCTTCCTCAAGATAGGTGTTGTACCCAGTTTTCCTCTTAGTAATCCCCATGGCTTCTTTCCATTACCGATACACCTAAAAAAGGTTTTACTCCCTTTGTCAATTTAACCCATCTTCTCCTCTTTCTTTGCTTTGCCAGCACTGATAATGTGTTGGGTCTTCTTTTGTCTATTTTTTTTTACACTTCTCTATCAGCTACACTTAAATTTTCATGACTATGTAGATTTTTTTTTTTCCTCCTTTACTATCCCTACTTACCTCTTTAGTGAGCAATAGTGTTTTTTTCCCTCCGTTTACTTTTACTAATTTGCCCAACATATAATCCAGTTGCCTTCAGGATGAAGGACTTTAGTCGTGCCAACTTGTTACATACTCCTGTCATTTTACTCTAACCTTAAATTTATTTTTTAGAAATGCACCCATTTCTGCAAAATTTGTCTTTTGTGAATCAAAACTTTTGTTGTGTTATACTAGGTATAACTCTGAAGATGGGATAATCTTAGTCCACACCCTTTTTCTTGTACGCAAATAGCCCACCAGGGATCTCGTTTGTGTGCAAATTGCATCAGCCAGGCAATGCAGTCTCATCTTTTGGCAAATAAAACCACTATGAGTACCAGCCATAATAAGCTCTATTTGTGGGGAAAAAAGGACATAAAATTTAATTTGTGTGCAGCATTGCATGACCGTGCAATTGTCAAAGTAATGCAGCGCCCTATTGCAAAAAATGGCCTGGTCAGGCAGGGGGGCAAATCCTCTGGAAGGCAAGTGGTTAATGAATTGTATTACAGCTGTTATTTTTGGGATCAATAATGGTTTGCAGGGTTGGCATTTCATGAGGCAAAATATAAAGATGAATACCTTCACCCAAAAGGCAATAGAGGGAGCATGTGTACCTAGAGTAGCAATGCCGTGACCACAGGATCAGCTGCAATGATGCGGACACAGCCAATGGGGCAGTACATAGAAACAGCAGGATCAATCAAGTATTTATAAAAAATGTTCCAGTATCTGTATTGCCCCTCCTCTCCTACACTTGCCTAAATCCACACTCGATCCAGCACTGTGCCCATCTGCATCAGCTCTCCCTACTCTCCGCAGCATTGCTGAGGTAGCAAGAGCCATTGGTTCCTGCTGCTGCCAGTCAAATTCTGTGATGAGGGAGCAGGGGGTGAGGCTGAACAATGCCATCTGTGTCTATGGACACAGGCAGCTCAGATCAGGATTGAACCTGCAGGTGTGCCACTATAGAAAGTGGCTTCCTATGGTGGCAAACTGAAAAGCGGAGGAGCCATGAGCACCAGTCTGTGAACAAGGAAGAGGATAATCAGGGACACTCAGTACAATTCTATTGACAGAGCAGGAAAGTAGAGGGGTTGGACAAAAATGCAGAAACACTGCATGATTTGCAGGTGTGAAAGTGACGAGATGTTTCATGTTGAAATAAGCGATGTAACATTCTTTTACTTCCGCTGTGTGATGAGATACCTAGTTAACAGGTGGGAAGCCACCTGTGCCAATGTGTGCGCTGCTAGTATTACGGAGTCATGTCAGACCTTACTGAGCTTCAAACAGCTTCAACTGATAGGCAGCACTAATGAGGTGGCATGGACAGGCGGCACTGATGATGGGTACTGATAGTCAGCACTGATAGGCGGCACTGACTGGCAGCACTGCTGGGCACTGACACTGGGGCAGCTGGCACTGCTGGGCTGCACTGGTGGGTGGAGCTGGTGGGCACTGCTGGGCACCGCTCATCAGGGCACTGATCATCAGTGCCTGCCTGATGATCGGTGCCGATCCCTGCTCTGACAACTGACGGTTCTCGGCAGTACTTTCCTCACACTTTGACAGCGAGAGGAAAGTGCAGCCGAGAACCGGCAAATGCATTCCCATGATCAGTGTGTCATTGGACACGGCTGATCACGTGGTAAAAGTCCGCTGTGATTGGCCTTTTACCAGATCACATGATCAGCTGTGTCCATAGGACACAACGATCACGGAGATTGCTGGGGGCGCGCAGGAGAGTGCGTTCTGGGAGGACGTCATATGACGCCCTCCCAGAACTGGCCGGCCGCAGTGTAGTCGTCATTCGGCTATCTGCGGTCAGCAACTGGTTAAAGGAGAAACTCACAATTGGGAACATGTTGCATGTTCCACCGTTTTAAGGGCGGACCATGTAACATGTTCCCACTGCTGCAGTCGCTCCCTAAACCGCTGCCTGTAGTGACAGGGGATCTTCTCCCCGAGTTTCGCTGTCACAATTTTACCGAGTTCTGTGAATGTGAGAACTACAAGTACCTACACCCATTGCGACTGTCGACTTGTAGTTCTCAATGAACTACCAGGGTACTGTTGAGCGTTCCAGGTAATTTATGGTTTCTTCCTGTCATTATGTAACAGCCTGCTCATAAAAGCAGACAGCTTACACTGACAGTCTACAGGAGTCCTGCTTTGCACCTGCGATCTGCTGATTTTTGCAGGCTCCCAGTACAAAAAAAAAAATATTAAAATGCAGATTTTTTACCTGTAAAAAGATGTGCATTATTAGTTTTATTTATTTTTTTTTTTTTTACAAAAGGTGAACTCCTTTAAAAAAAAAAAAAAAAAAGACAGACTTTACAGTCACTTTAAATAAGTTTCAAAACATTGCGAATACAAATTTTTAACCTTATTTTGCAAAACATGAAATTTACCACAACATTTGCAGAACGTCATGCTAAACATACATGCATAAACATAAGTACCCATGCATATGAACAACTATTCCACTTACTTAGCAAAAGTAGGCAGTTCTTCTTGTCAAGAAGGCGTTTAGTGACATCTCCAGATATCAGAGAGGAATACGGGCAGTTCATCTCTGCCAAAAGACCACTCATTTCTAGTTGAAACCCTTCTGCCTCTGCAGGGCCTATAAAACAAATCATAATTTAAACATTTTATGCTTTCTGTGTATATATGGTACTGCACAACGGTGGGGACTGCTGCCAACACCTATCCCTCTCCAATTGGAATGTATAATAAAATGCAATATAAGGGTGTGGCGCGGTTCTCAAACGAGGTTAAAGCTGACATCTATCTGAAGTTGTGTAAACTTACAAAGCGCTATAAAATGAATTCCGATCCCTAGATCGTGAAAGTGTTAATGTACTACACTACAGGACACCTTCCCCCTTTTCCTGCAATAGTCAGATTAAGGTGTGAGTGGGATGAAAGGAAGGTAAATCCTAGGGAATCCTTCAGGGCACTCTACTGTGATGTGAGTGGACCAGGTGTGTGTGAGCGGAAATCAACAAAAACAGTTCACGATTTACAGCATTGTAATTGCATCTCTCTTTGAGGGGGGGAGGTGTTTTATAGCACTATATACTTGCTTTAACATGTAGTACAGGTGTACCTCAGTTTACAAACGCCTCAGTTAACGTAATTTTCGGTTTACGAATGAAAATCCATTGAAAATAATGCCTCTGTTTAGGAAAAGGAAACATTGTTTATTTTAAGTCAGGGAAATAAACTAAAAGGAAACTTTTTTCTTTTAGCTGGGGAAAGTGGCAGCTTAATCTCTGAGCTATAGTGAAGAAAAAAAAAAAAAGCGGTAGTTGCATTTAAAAACCGGCACCATAATAAATAAAAAAAACAGCATGGGGTCCCCCCTCCCATCCATACCAAGCCCTTAAGATCTGGTATGGATTTTGAAGGGAACACCATTTTTTTTTTTACATTTTGGCATGGGGGTCCCCCCAAAATCCATACCAGACCCTTATCTGGGCATGCAGCCCGGCAGGTCAGGAAAGGGGGGGAGAATGAGTGCCCCCCTTTCCTCCTGAACCATACCAGGCCACATGCCCTCAACATGGGGGGGTGCTTTGGGGGCAGGGGGGCTCCCCCCCCAAAGCACCTTGTCCCCATGTTGATGGGGACAGGGGCCTCTTCCCCACAACCCTGGCCAGGGTTGTGGGGGGTCTGCAGCCAGGGGGCTTATCAGAATCTGGAAGCCCCTTTTAACAAGGGGGCCCCCAGATCCCCCCCCCCATGTGAATGATTATGGGGTACATGGTCCCGCTACTCATTCACAAAAAACAAAAAGTGTAGTGTGAAAAAAAAGACAGGACACAGTCTTTATTCCTTTATTAAAAGAAAAAACTAAAAGAATGCCCCTACAGTAGATCCAACATCAATCATGATGTCCACCGCCGACCCGAGAAAAGAATAGGAAAAAAAAAAAAAAAAGGCTCTACTTAAGGCGATGGCTCCTGCCGTCTGCCTGCTCCGGTGGTTTGACAGTTCTTAACCATTTGCCGCCCGGCCTATAGCCGTTTGGCGGCCTCAAAAATGCATTACCTTTCCAGGGTGTACGTCATTTGGCGTCCTCCCGCACATGCGCAGTTCGCACGGTTGCAGAGCCGCGCAGCGGCGCGATCTGTCACCGGCCGTGTACCTCGGACACGGCCGATGACAGATCTGAGTACTGACCCCTGTTGCCAGTACCATGTGATCTGCTGTGACCAATCACAGCAGGTCACATGACAGTTGTATACAATGGATGGCTTCATTCATGCCATCCATTGTATACTAGTGTCTAGCTGTGAATGGTCACAGCAGGTTTACATGCACATGTCATGTGATTAGCTGTGGCCAAATCACAGCTAGGCACAAAAAAAAAAAAAAAAACCTGAATGAATCGATGTCATTCAGGTAAATGCTTGCTTATAGCAAAGTAATTCTTTGCTATAAGCAAATTGTGTAAAAAAAAAAAAAAAAAAAAATACTGATCACTTCCCCAAAGTAGTACAATGTTACAAAAAAAAAAAATATAATAAAATATATATATATTTTCACACTGTCACCAGTCAGTGTCCCTGTTCACCGCCATGCCAGTTATATGATGACGCTGTACTGCACTGGTGACAGTATGTAAAAAAAAAAAAATAGTGAAAATAATTTTTTTAAATTTTTTCATTTTCCAAAAAATTTTTTTTATACAACTTCAAAAAAACTCGCCATTCCTCTTATGAAGTACGTCGCACTGTCTACTCTGCAAAAAGGGGTCATTTGGGGGATATCTGTACTGTTCTGACATTCTTGGACCTGAAGAAGTTAGATTGGCTGTCAGTACTTCAGGATTGATCAATTTTCAGATCTATACCATAGTTTGTGAACTCTATAACTTTCCTACAAACTAAATAATACATCCTAATTTGGGTTATTTTCACCAAAGACATGTAGCAGAATACATCTCGGCCTAAATTTATGAAGAACAATTATTTAGTTGTAAACTTTTATAACAGAAACAAAGAAAGTTTTTTTTTTCAAAATTTTTGGTCTTTTTTTGTTAATTTAGCAAAAAATAAAAACCACGGCGGTGATTAAATACCACCAAAAGAAAGCTCTAGTTGTGTGAAGAAAATTATAAAATTTTAGTTTGGGTACAATGTTGTATGACCGCGCAATTGTCATTTAAAGTGTGAGAGCGCTGAAACCTGAAAAATGGCCTGGGCAGGAAGGCGTAAAATTGCCCGTATTTGAATTGGTTAAATAAGGGGCGGGGCCACCCGGGGACATCAAGCATGTGATCCACCCCATGTGACATCAATGATGTCACATGGGGCAGGGTCACTCAGGTGATGTCCCCAGGTGGCCCCGCCCCTTAAATATTTAGAACTGTCAAACCACCGGAGCAGGCAGACCAGACGGTGGGAGCCATTTTTTTTTTTTTATTAAATTATTTTTTTGGGTTGACGGCGGCCCCAAAGCACTCCCCATGTTGAGGGCATGTGGCCTGGTATGGTTGGAGTGGGGCTCGTTCCCCCCCTTTCCTGACCTGCCGGGTAAGGGTCTAGTATGGATTTTGGGGGGGGGGGGGACCCCCACGCGATTTTTTTTTTTTTTTAATTTTGGCGTGGGGGTTCTCCTCAAAATCCATACCAGACCCGAAGGGCTTGGTATGGAAGGGAGGGGGGACCCCGCGCCGTTTAATTTTCCAATTGCTGGCAATACATTCAGCTATCAGTGGGGAACCCCGCTGACAGCTGAAACATTAACAAATGTTGTCACTACTAAAATACTGCATGAGTTGATAAAATAACTCACGCGGTATTTTAGTAGCATTTACTTTTTTCTGACCTCCGGAATGGATTAATTGGTTTTCAATGCATTCCTATGGGAAACAGAGTTTCGGTTTACGAATTTTGCACTATACGAAAAGTCAGGAAGAACGAATTAAATTCGTAAACCGAGGTATGCCCGTAGTTTCTTTTTTTGGTGGGGGAGGTGCATTATAGTGCCACTATTGGATTGGTATAGAATTGTTATTTGCACTTTTTTAGTATCTGATATCTAGTTAAGATTGGCATTGTCCAGCATCATCTCTCTTTGAGGGAGGAGGTGCACCAAACATTTTTTGTTATTTCCTTCTTCCTTTTTGTTATTTCACAGTGTGTATTTGGGGAGGGTGTACCTAACACGGTTTCTGATTGCGATACCCTTAGGATGAATAATTATCTTTTCACTAAGTTTTTTGCTGATTTCCGCTCATACACCTGGTCCACACACATCACGGTAGAGTGCCTTGTAAGATTCCCTAGGATTACCTTCCTTTCATCCCACTCACACCTTAATCTGACTATTGCAGGAAAAGGGGGAAGGTGTCCTGTAGTACATTAACACTTTCACGATCTAGGAATCCAAATTAATTTTATAGCGCTTTGTAAGTTTACACAACTTTGGATAGGTGTCAGCTTTAACCTCCTTTGAGAACAGTGCCACACCCTTATATTCCATTTTATGCTTTCTGTTATAGTAGAACAATCTTTAAGCCTACTTATGCTCAAGGACAAAAATAAAAACTTATTGCAGCTTACTAGTTCTTAGATGGTGGTTGCCTTTATAATTTTTTTTAGGCTTACTCCTATTCCTCCCACTTAATTTTAAAGGGGAATTCACCAGTAACACTTCCTGTTCTAGGAGGGTGTTTACTTACTATACTTGAAAAAGCAACACTGTAACCCTAGCATTGGACTACAGAACACCTTCACCTCTTGCCCGTAAACTAGGGGGCACGTGTTTTTAAGTCCACAGAGGTGGCTAAGGGCTTGTTCACACTAGGTGACTGATGTTTTCCTGTATCCATTGCCAGTCACAAGGGCACACAGAAAACCAGTGTCTTTTTTGTGCCCTGTTCACACAGCAACAGAGCCCCCGGGTGCAGAGCGGTGTGGTATGGAAAAAAATGCATACAGTATGCATTATTCTGCAACGAACTGGCACTCACCTGAAGACTCTGTGCACTGTCCATTTGAAGTACAGGTTAATAACTTACAATATTTCTGGCAGGATCAATGAGTATTTTCTGCACTTATTGAACAGATAGAATGAAAACAATATAAATGGCATTGTCTTAACAAAAGAAAATGTAGTAAAGAAGTTAAAGTGATACTAAAGTTAAAAATTAAAAAAAAAAAAAAATGTTATACTTCGGTAAAAGCATCCCCGATCCTCCTCTTCTTGGGTCCCCTGCCACCACTCCTGGCTCCTCACCCCTGATGAGTGCTCCCATAGCAAGCAGTTTGCTATGGGGGTACTTGTGTGTGCTTGCTCTCAAGCCCTGCTCTGTGTCCATAGACACAGCCAAGCCCCCATTCCCTCTTCACTGGCTGTGATTGACTGAGATTGATTGACACATTGCTGCTCTTGTGCACATTGCTGGATTGAGATTGGACTCAGGTAAGTATGCGGGGGGGTAGCTGCACACAGAAAGTTTTTTTACTTTCATGTATAGAAATCATGACGAAGGTAAAAAACCTACAGCCTTTAGAAGTACTTTAACCAACAGGGTCTACTACGCTAGATCTGTTAATTATTTAGCATATTTGCTGCCTTTTTCAATGCTGTGCATAACAGCATCATTCACATGGATAATGGGCCTCACTTCTAAAACTGGACATGCTTATAGAAACCAGCCAGGTAGATTCTTATAAAAGGTTGCCACAGTAACGGTCACTTTCCAAGTACATTTATTTTCATAAGTGCTGTAGTAAATACCTGCAAAGCTTACAAAACCAGTATTTTATACCTACTAACATGCTTATCACACATTTACAATAACAAATAAATATGCTTGTTATTTCATGACTGTAAAAAAGCAACTGTAAAAGGATACTTTGTAATGGATTTTCCTGCCAATGAATTGCTAGTATCCCAGAGGGGTTTTAATACATTTGGGTTTTTTTTTACACAATGTTACAAAAGACTTTTTTGATTTTTATTTTTTACGGCTCTGTACTCGTCATTACTAATCTTTATGCAGCTGTGTGCAATGTTCCATAGACAACAACAGACGTGTTTAGATCAGTAAAAAAGTGGCATTTGAGCCTGGGTTCACACTTGTGTGCGGTGCGGTATATCGCATGTGATTCACACAGGAACCGCACCGTATTCCTGTGCAAATCACATGTGAACTCTGTGCAGTGCGATTTGAGCCATACATTTTGTATGGCTCAAATCGCACCGCATTCACACCAAAAAAGTGGAGGACCCTTTTTTTGGCCCGCACTAGAATCAGATCGCATGGGTATTCGCACCCATGCAATCCAATTCTGTACATCACACCTCATTTTGCAGACCGATTTTGGGGGTGTTAACATACACACCCGCAGCGGTTTGCATGAATGGGGTGCGATTGTAATGCGGTGTGGAATTCGCACAGAAACCGCTGCGAATTCCGCACTGCACCAGTGTAGACCCAGGCTTAGTCCCGTGTGCAAGAAGTAATGAAAACTGTCCATCACTGATTTACAATGTGGCTATTTTTCCGAAATATCAAATGTTTTGACTGTTAATTCTTATTTAAATTCAGAATATTTAAACAGCGAAGACAGCCCTGGTTATGACACTTTAAGGGCTTACTATTAGTGGCTTCTACGCTTTCTTCTAGTTTGCAGAACAATTTCAGCTCAGCAACCAGCCATGCACAGAGCTTGGTATATTCGGGAGAAAGGGCTCCTTGAGCAGCAGCTTGGATCAAGGCACCATCATCCATCAGGGATCCTTTGTACCTAAGAATAAAACAGGGTAATTGAAACTAGTAGAATTTGTAACATACCAACAAAAAGGAATATCCTCTTGCCAATACAAGTGTAGGATGCAATGAAATCTGACATTTATAACTGCATTGTAAATTCTACCACAAAGAAAACAATACTATTTAAAATTAAGAGATCACAGACCACTCATTTAAACCAAACCGTCATTGGGTGGAAGAAAAAACTCAACCATGCAAATCTTCTATTTTTAGAATAGACATATGTAACAGATGAGAACTTAGATTTTTGGGGAAATCATCAACCTCTAAGGCCCCCTTCAGCATGTAAATAAGTTAGCATAACTTATCAGTGAGATGGAGAAAGGGCTATTTTACACTACAATTGTTCTCTAAAGAACAATCCACATTTCAGTCGCTCTTCAGAGAGCATTTGACATACGGTGAGGAGGCACTGTATCACCGCTTGTTTTAACCCCTTAAACACCCACAATGTATGCAGCTGTGGGGCGTCCTCATTCACCTGAATGGCTTTTGCTTGGCAGGCAGTACTACCCAATGAACACGACAGCAGGGATAAGTGGGAGTGGTTGGGGGGGTGGGGGTGGTAAAAACACATCTCAGCTGCGCATTTTTTACTATCCCACATGCACATGTGTAAATAAACCCTTAGGGGTTTGCTCAGCAGGGATCACAGAAATCATTGTATCCTGTACATGATTTAGCCAGACACACCGGCAATGTCTGCTGAGGTTCCTGTTGTACCCAGCATACAATATAACAGACATCTCGGTCAAAATGTTTAGAAGTTCCTTCAGTGATAGGCAGGGTGAAACAAATGGCTGGGGGGGGGGGGGGTGCAGGGCCTCACTAGACTTGAATGACTGTGGCATATAGTTCAGCACCAGTGTATGATGTGAGATGCTATCTGGACACTAAGTCTCCATCGCATTACTGCCACAAGAAGCTTCCAGTGTCCACCTACCTGCTGCTGGACCTTCTACAATCACCAAGAGCTGCAAATGTGAGTAGTTCATCCTCTACACTGTGACTGCTGCCCCGTGAACTGCCGTCTATCCCTCACTGTGACTGGATTGTTACCCTGTTATCCTGGACCTAACCCTTTTTGTTACATATTGCTGTCTGTCTATCACTGTGCCTGGATTACTGCCCTGTGAGCCTTAACACCCACTGTTCTCTATTCCTGTCTGTCATTCACTGTGCCTGGATCATTGATCTGTACCTCTGGATGTGTTCCTGTTGCTGCCTTGTATCTTGCTACCTGACTCTTCACCATGCCCAGATTGCTGCTCTGTGAACTTCCACTTGTACAACTCCCTACGTGTTGAACCCCTCAATCAATAAGAACCCTTTGACCAGAGGCCATAAAACCACTTTTCATCTTACATGTGTTCTGTTCCATGTATACGCAGTAGAGACTGTCTGCCTCTAAGTACTGGCTCTCCCTTTGCAAAGGGGCTTTACACAGACATTCAAGTGAAATTAAACTGCCCTATAGTTTTATTTTTTTTTCTTTTAATGGGCTCACAGGATGTTCATGCCTACATGTGCTAGTATGCAGTATATTAGCACATTATGACAGACCTACTTGCTGACAAAATGGAAGAAACATTTATGACAGAAGAGACTAATAGTGTCCCTTCTGTCATAAAAACCTTACCGGTCAGTGGTTTCACAAAAAAGCTCAATTCCGCTTGTGGGTACTTCACGGATTACACTGCCTGTAAGATGATCTGTGAAAGGGGGAGAATCTGATCAGTCACAGGATTCTCTCCCCCATTCACAGATCATGCTACAGGCAGTGTAATCAGTGAGAGAACTTTTCCCAATGGAGAAGAGGGTAGGAGTGTCCCTGTCGGAGCATCTTTAGTGCAGCTGAGCCTGGAGACCTGACACACTGTGTGTGAATGGACAGACAGGGCAGCGGCTCGAGAGCAAGTCTGCCCAGGTGCCCCATAGCAAGCTGCTTGCTGTGGGGGCATTCAGCAAACGGGAGGGGCCAGGAGCATCGGTGGGGACCCAAGAAGAGGAGGATAAGGGCTGCTCTGTGCAAAACCACTGCACAGAGCAGGTAAGTAGAACATGTTTCTTATTTTAAAAAAAAAACTGCCTTTAATATCACTAAGTTTTAACTTTAAACTGATTTGACAGCATGAGTGGTTGGATAGTTTAGCAAAAGACGCTGGGCAAGGCTGCTACCAGTCCATAAAAATGCTGTGTGATGTTTTTGCCCAAAACAGGACTTAGAAACCGAGTGCATTTCAAAGGTAATTTATTGTACTTGCAGGGTTCTTAAGGTGATAAAATATGGGGGAACGTACATGTATTGCCAAAACGTATACTGCCTATATTATTTTTATTTTTCTTTGACTCATACTTTAAAGTAAACCTGCTGCTTTTCCCAGCATGGCAAAGCAGAGGTTCAATGTAACAACTTGTCTAGGGTCTTCCTGGATGGATGGTATGTTGCACCTAAGGTAACAAACAAGATTTGATACACTTAAAAAAAAATGACAAAGCCCCATGTTTTATAATTTGGGCATACATGATTTATCTATAGAAGCAAACACTTCAGAGAAACAACACTTTTGTTGTTAAGTATTGAGAACTGCACTAACTGCATGGTACATGTACATGCAAAAGTATATGCAGCTTTCCCCATTCCTTGAATTACTGGTGCTTTTTACTTGTATAACTGCTTTTTCTGGAAAGCTCTCTTTAAACTGTAGTGAGCCAAAAAACAAAAAAAAGTGACAATTCAGCAATCAATGGCTCATATTGTAATTGTAAAAAAATTTAACAGTCAATGGTCTCGATTCATAAAAATGAAGTTTAAAAGTTCAAACATTTACGCATGTAAAGACAGGGACGTTAAAAAAAATAGGTAAACTCCTATGGAAATTGTTGGCTTTCTTAATAGATTTACACAGACAAAAAAAGAAATCCTCATCTAAATAGTACCTATAGGTAAAAGTGATATACTTGAACAAATGACACACATATTGACATAGTGCATTCACTCTGCTAATCTAAACAAAAATGCAGATTTGCCAAGTGTAAAAAGTACACCCCTATATTTACCACCTATTCAAATCCCTGAAGTTAAAACCACAGTAAGTGTTGTAGATTATGTGCCAATGATTAGAATTTCCTTATGAAGTCAGAATCTGTATTGTTTAAACCTCAGATGTCTAGATTCTGATGTTCTCTCCTCCATTCATGGTCATTCTGCTAAAGCAAAAACAAAAATCACCTATTTGAAATCAATCATTCCACTGTAAAGAATATGATATACAAATAGTATACGACTACTAATTTGTCCAGGACTGGATGGCCCAGTAAATGTGTAGCCCAAGAGCTGACTGATGCTAAAAGTAGTTTCCAAGAGCCCAAAAATCTACAATCAGAAAGAAATAGCACTAATTTAACCTAGTACCAAGAAATAGCCTTGCTGTCCAAAACGAACAGAAACAAAATGTAATTTTTGTCTTTGCCAACACTGGCAAAGACCATGCCCTTCTAGATATGTTTGGCACAAACGGAAGACAGCATTTCAGGAGACCACCATACCAACTGTGAAGCATGCTGGTAGAAATGTTATGGTTTGGGGTTGTTCTGCTTCTTCCGAATCAAGGCACCTTGCAGTGGCACCTGAGAATTCTGCATCTTATCAAGTGTACTTGATGAGAATGGAAGGCCATCTGTCCAAAAGATAAAACTGGAAAGTGTATTTAGAACACAATAATGATCTGATGACACTAGCAAGTACACCAAAAAATTAAATAGAAGGTTAAGGCCTGGACTAGTGAGAGCCTTTTGAATCCCCTTGAAATATTGGAGGATGGTACACACAGCAAAATATAAACTGAGAGGATCCAAAACTCAACAAAGTGGTCTATGTAGCTCAGACAAACAGTCATGTGAAAAAGTATGTGAAATTGGTATTTAAACAGTAAAGCAAACACATAATTGGCCAGCAGAATTTTTAGAAGTTAGGAAAGCTTTGATATCATAGCAAACCTGAACAGATTGCCAAAAATGGGTCACACCATAAACTGACTGGGTACAGGATAACAGAATAACCTTTGACACTAGCTACCAGATGGTCATGGTCATGAAACATTCACACATTCCTCTTCCTCTGTAGTTACTAAACTCCAGGATGAGCAAATATCTAAATACATTCATCATGTGTATGCTTACTTGAATCTTGTGTGCTATGCGTATTTCCTCCAGATCTTCGCAGCAATCCAGTGGGCAACTTTACCTCCTCTACAGGAGCTTCCTATAAAAAAACAGTTACTGCTGCTCTCCCTCCTTGTGCTTAGTTACTGGTCTGGTCTCTGCCCCTCCTGTAGTTTTCTGCAGACAGTCTATAGTGGATGGAGCTTATGGGGCCCTTCCTATAGCTATGCTCTATGTACAACACAGTGATGATGTCACTGCTACTTTCACATGGTAATATATGGGTTTGCAAAGGCATTTGGTGCACATAAAGTGGATTTGTGGATATTGAGGAATGTATTTAAAGGAAAGTTTGTGTGCTTGGAGTTCAGCTTTACATACAGTAGACACTAAACCTGAGTAGTTGTAGTTATTTGTGTCCCTTCGAACCGTGCAAGAACTTAAGAGCAGAGAAAACCTATTCATTAAAACTCCACCAACACAGCAACATAGTCTTTAGCATGACAGTGAAAACATGACCTTTTCAAGCAAATAGGGAAACATGCACATTTTATTTGGCAAGCATAAAGACAGATGGGAAAAAAGTAATAGTAGAGCGGTGCACGTGATCATGAGATATATTCACTGCTCACCTAACACAGACCAGAAAAGAATGCAAAGAAGCCTGTCAGATGAATTTGGAAAAGCTAAAAACAGTATGAATAGTTTAGGAAGAGTAGCAGACTTGAGATGACTATAGCACCTTGTGAAGGATTGAAAGTTGATTTTATAGGATAAGTTCACCTTCATGAACG